CAAGCACCATGCCGCTGGATGCCTAGGGAAGCGGGGGAGACCGAGAAAGGGAGGGGCGCGACATGTGGACAACTCGGAGGCGGTCCCGCCCATCTCGGCCGCCACGTCGATGTCTGGTGGAGCGTCTACGCCATCTTACAGGCCAACCTCCACTTGCTCCTTTGCCGGAACACTTGTTTCGGACGTCTCGCTGGCGAGGGTCCCCTGTTGGAGAATCCTGCTTCTGGCGGGCGAGGAGAGACATCGAGGGAGGGAGAGGGGGAGGCTGCATGCTCGTTCGATACATTGTGGACACGCCGTCGGGGCCAAGGGTGCGCTTTGCTGCTTCTACTCCTTGTTCTGCATCACCATCACCCTCAGCACCACCATCATCCCAACCCGCACCCTCACCCTCACCCCCACCCTCACCCTCACCCTCACCCTCACACTCACACCCACCATCACCATCTTCTTTCATCATCATCATCATCATCATCATCATCATCATCATCATCATCATCATCATCATCATCATCATCAGCCACCGTACCCTCTGGCACGTGGAGGCGCGGTAGAATACCAAGCGCTGTTCAGGTGGGTTTCAACACATGCCTAGGCCCCCCCTCCCTCCACGCTCCGCTGCGTGCGCAGGGCCTTGCTCCCGAGGCCCCCTGATCGGCCCGACGCCGCCCTGGAGATCTCCTAAGCGGCAAGACATTGAGAGAGAGGAGGGATAATCGGCGTATGTATAATCAACACAAATATCTTGGTGTATATGCGCGCACAATCCGTAACACCCCGATGTTGCAGACAAGAGTGAGAGGGCGGGCACGGGGTGGGTCGCGTTTGAGTCACGGGTGGGTCGCGGGTGCGTCGCGGGGTGGGTCGCGGGCGGGTCGCGGGCGGATTGTGGGCAAGGGCGACGACGACAACAGCACGCAACAAGCAACAAGAAGCTGAACCCACGCCGCGGATTCCCTCCACACCCACGCACCCAGAAACAGTATGAGACCGTTCGGCCCCCTCACTCTGGCAACCAAGGTGCCCCCTAACAAAACATACCCCCCGACCTAGGTATTTCCCCCCAAGGGCCCCCCCTACTCCTCCGTCAAGAGGGGAATACCCCGTGGACTCCCTCCTAATGACACCTCTGTCGATGATTTTGGTCGGGGTACCGTTTTCTTGGGCCGGCCCCCCCCCTGAACAGGGCCCCCTCCCGGAGAGCCCGCACTGAGCCCCCGTCATTGGCGGGGGCGGTAGGGCCCTTAAACGCAGCAGAGCCTCACACCCCATCCCCCTACCCCAAAAAGGTAGCGTTTGTTTTGGGGGTGGGGGGGTTTCGAAGCGCGGCCTGCAACTCGGCAGGCGGGACCACTCCTCGGGGGCCTGCTTTGCAGTGCGGCCAGACCTGGACGCGGCGCGGGGATGCGGTCTAGCATGGGGGGTTCCCGGGCCCACCTACAAAAACCGTGACAAGTGTGGACTGGGTTTCTTTGGGGTGTCACAGGCCCTTCCCAAACACAAGGCACCGCGACGGGAGTTAAGAGGGGTCACATCGGTACTTCCTGGAAAAGCACAACATAAAATCTTACGTGGGCTCCAGGAATCCCACCAGCCCTTTGGGCGAATGCTGTCTGACGATATCTTCGTTCCTCTTCCCAAACCCTCTTCCCTTCGGGAAGGGGTCCCCTCCCCTCCCCTCTCTGAAGTTTGTTTTGGGGGTTCGCGGAGTGTCAGGGCGCCCAAGATGTCCCAATATGGTTCCAAGAGGGCGTCCGATGCTCCAAGATGGCCTCCAAGATGGCTCAAGGTAGCCGACGATGGTTCAAGATGACTTCCGACATGCCTCCAAGATGCCCGACGAGGGCCTCAAGACGGTTGCAAGTGCGTTTGGAGCTGACTCAAAACCCGCCAAGAGGGCCAAATCCTTCAAACACCTCAGGCAACATAATAACTTGTGACTTCTCGCCTTTTCGCTTGCGATACGCTGCTGAGGCTTCAAGATTGCCCAAAATGGCCCAAGAGGGGCCCAAGAGGGGCCCAAGAGGCCCCCCGGACGGCCCCAAGAGCGCCCAAGAGCGACCCAATATCGCCCCAAGAGGGCTCCAAGATGCGATTTTGATGGCCCCAGTGGGGGGAGGGAAATTGGGACCGCCCCCGTTTGTGACCGGTGGCCTCCAAGATGGCCCCAAGAGGGCATCCAGGGAACCGAGGGGACCACCAACAGGGCCCCAAGACTCCCCAACAGAGGCCCATTAGGGACACAAGATCCCCCAAAAGAGTCCCAAGAGGGCTCCAGGAGGAGATTTTGAGGACTCTGTCCTCGTCCTCGGTATCCTCCTCCTCCTCCTCCTCCTCGTCCTCGTCCTTGCCCTTGCCATCATAGTCTTCCATTTTCTGTTCCTGTCTTCTTCGTCGTCGTGGTCGTGGTCGTCGTCTTCCTCCTCCTCCTCCTCCTCCTCCTCCTCCTCCTCCTCCTCCTTCTTTTCCTCCTCGTCCTCCTCTCCCTCCTCCTCCTGTCCTCGCCCACACAGGGGCCCCAGGGATGGCCCGAAGAGGCCGTTCAAGTCCACCCCCTTGCTCCCAGAGATTTCTTCTCTGTACATCCTGGTTGCCCGCTTTGTGTCACTACACGAAACTATTCGTCCTTTTCACGTCAACTCTCACGGTGGCAGCGTTTGTGAACTGGCGGGTGGGATCCGCGAAGCGTGAATAATTTTCACAGTGGTCCCGAGACCACCCCCAACAGACCATGGTTCGGGTGCCCTGGGACAGAACAAGAAAAATGCGACGGTGGCTGACAGTCGGGGTTGATTGGAGAGGACACGCGAGAGGACACACGACCCGTCCGAGGGCCACACTACCATATGAATGTAGAAGGCATGGGTCGCGAAACACAGGATGCAAAGGGTACCCTTGACCCGGCAGGGACGACCTACCAGTCAACCTCGAATCTGGGGCGGTGTCCTCGGGGGCCCTGGGCACCTCCCAGCAAGCAAACGTGCTGGCAGGGCCCCGGGGGGAGGAGGGCGACGAGGACGAGGTGGCCGCGGCGACGAGGGTGACCTGGGCCTCCGAAGGCGCGATCTCTGCGAGTCTCGGCCTGGGGCCCCAGGCCTCCCGAATCCCTCCCTGCAGCAGTTCTGGCCCTCCGGGGTCGTTCCTGGGCGGCCCAAAGGGGGCCCGAAAGCGGCCTCGGGAGGCCGGGAACGTTGAGCAACACCAGGCCCTCCCCCCTCGCTGCCCCGCTGCCCTATGGCACCAGACGAGCCCTCGCGCTGAGCCGACCGCCTCCCTCCTTCCTCCTCCCCCCCCTCCTCCCTCCTCGCTCCCCGCTTCTCCGCCTCCTCCTCCTCCTCCTCCGCCTCCTCCTCCTCCTCCTCCTCTTCCTCCTCCGCCTCCTCCTCTTCCTCCTCCTCCCGTAGGGCGACGATATATATATATATATATATATATATATATATATGTGTGTGTGTGTGTGTGTGTGTGTGTGTGTGTGTGTGTGTGTGTGTGTGTGTGTGTGTATGTGTGTGTGTGTGAAGTGTCCACTGCTCCTGTCCAGGCCCTTCCTGGCGACGAGCCCCCGCCCTCCGAAGGCCAACTGCTCTTCTCTCATCTGGCGACGGGCCCCGCCCGCAAAGCCCAACCACGAACTGCCGCTCTCTCATCTGGCCTTCCTCCGACAGTGCGCGGAGCTCCTCCGCGGCCGCGACGGCGCAAGGAAGCCCCGCCGGCCAGCCCGCGGCGGCTGCCGCGCCTAGACCCCCCACGGCGCACCCCTCGCCGCCGCCCTGGGCGGCGCCCGCAGCGCTCAGGCCCGCGCCGCCGCCTCCGCTGGCGCCGTCCCCGCCGCCGCCGTCCTCCCTACCTCCCTATCCTTGTCGTCGTCGCCGCCGTGGGCATGAGACCACACCCTTTCGCGTGGTAACGAAAATAACACTGGCGGGCTTATTCTGTTATCTTCAGACTCTGGGGGCCCTCGCCGGGCCCCGGGGACCGTCAAGAAACGACTCGGGATAACAAACTCGTCCTCGGGAGGGATTCCAGACCTCTGCAAGTCCACGTCATGGAAAAATCATGACGTCGGGGGGCTGGGTCACTCGTCTCCTGGTGGTCGCTGCGGTGTGCAGGCACCCTGCGCCTCGAAGAGATGGGGGCGGCCGGCTTGTCGTCCGGAGGAGGCCAGGGCCCCCCGTGTTGTCAACATATAGGCATACGACGACGACGACCTTGTCAACGACGACCAGGCGAACGTCAGACGGCCCCGACGACGACCACAACGATGACGACCGACGTCCAACGTCTGAAGCCGACTTGCCAAAGGTGTCCCAAGAATTTCCAGGGAAGACACCATGGCCTTCAGAGCGACCCCATCGAAGCCCAGAGTGCCCCAGGAACTACAGAACGGAGCGCTGCATCGAAGTGCACCTTGGGCCACGGACACTTCTGGCCACACCCGAGCCGTCCTGCGGAGCCGCCGCCAGCGATAGCCGACGTCCGACGGCTCCGAGGGCGACTCCGACGATGACGGCCGACGTCCAGCGTCCGAGACCGACGAGCCTCCCGCGCCGCCGCCTCCAAAGCCGCCACCACCGGCGACCGCGGGGCCACCCTCCGCGCACGCCCCGCCGCCACTGGCGCCGCCACCAGCCGCGCCAGCGCCTGCGCCTCCGCTGCCGCCGCCTCTGGCACCGCCACTATCCGCGCCCGCGCCCGCGCCTCCAGCGCCACCGCCTCCAGTGCCGCCACCACCCGCGCCCGCGGGGCCGCCCTCCGCGCCCGTCCCGTCGCCTCTCGAGCCGCCACCAGCCGCGCCAGCGCCTGCGCCTGCGCCTCCGCTGCCGCAGCCTCTGGCACTGCCACCATCCGCGCCCGCGCCCGCGCCTCCAGCGCCGCCGCCTCCAAAGCCGCCACCACCAGCGACCGCGGGGCCGCCCTCCGCGAACGCCCCGCCGCCACTGGCGCTGCCACTAGCCGCGCCAGCGCCTGCGCCTCCGCTGGCGCCGCCTCTGGCACCGCCACTATCCGCGCCCGCGCCCGCGCCTCCAACGCCGCCGCCTCCAGTGCCGCCACCACCCGCTCCCGCGGGGCCGCCCTCCGCGCCCGTCCCGCCGCCTCTCGAGCCGCCACCAGCCACGCCAGCGCCTGCGCCTCCGCTGCCGCCGCCTCTGGCACCGCCAACATCCGCGCCCGCGCCCGCGCCTCCAGCGCCGCCGCCTCCAATGCCGCCACCACCCGCTCCCGCGGGGCCGCCCTCCGCGCCCGTCCCGCCGCCTCTCGCGCCGCCACCAGCCACGCCAGCGCCTGCGCCTCCGCTGCCGCCGCCTCTGGCACCGCCAACATCCGCGCCCGCGCCCGCGCCTCCAGCGCCGCCGCCTCCAATGCCGCCACCACCCGCTCCCGCGGGGCCGCCCTCCGCGCCCGTCCCGCCGCCTCTCGCGCCGCCACCTGCTGCCCCAGCGCCTGCGCCTCCGCTGCCGCCGCCTCTGGCACCGCCACCACCCGCGCCCGCGCCCGCGCCTCCAGCGCCACCGCCTGCAGTGCTGCCGCCCCTGGCGACGGCGCCCGCGCTTCCGGCGACGCCGCTCCCGCTGACGCCACCACTCACGACGGCGCCCGCGCCTCTGGCGCCATCGCCTGTGGCACCGCCGCCTCCAGCGCCGCCGCCTCCAGCGCCGCCGCCTCCGGCACCGCCACCCCCAGCGACGGCGACCGCACCTTCGGCGCCGACGCCTTCCGCTCCGCCACCAGTCGCGACGGCGCCTCCGCTGCCGCCGACTGTGGCGCCGCCGCCACCCGCGACGGCGCCAGCGCCTCCAGCGCCACCGCCTGTGCTGCCGCCACCGCCAGCGCCACCGCCAGCGCCGGTGCCGCCACCACCCGCCGAGTCCGACGAGCCTCTGGCGCCGCCTCCTCTGCAGCCGCCTCCAGCGCCGCCCGTGCCGCCTCCACCAGCGCCCGCGGCGCCGCCCTGCGCGCCAGCGCCACACCCTCCCCCGCGCCACTCGCCGCCCGGCCACCCTCCGGCGCCCAAGGCGCTGGGCTGCTCGCTGGACTGCTCGGGGTACCCAGCACTGGCTGGCGCCGCGCCTGCCGTCGGTCGTCGCCGCCGCCTGCCGCATGCTGCCTGCCGCCACCGCCGCCGTCGTCGTCGTCGTCGTCGTCGTCGTCGTCGTCCTCGTCCTTCGTCTTCGCCGCCGCCACCGCCGCCGCCGCCGCCGCCGCCGCCGCCGTCGTCGTCGTCGTCGTCGTCGTCGTCGTCGTCGTCGTCGTCGTCGTCGTCGTAGTTGTCACTGTTGTCGCCGTGGTCGTCTCGGCCGTCGTCGTCGCCGTCGTGTTCGTGTTCGTGTTCGTGGTCGTGGTCGAGGTCGAGGTCGTGGTCGTGGTCGATGTCGTGGTCGTGGCCGTGGCCATCGTCGTCGTGGTCGGCGTCGTTACCGTCGTCGTACCAGTCGTCATTGTACGCTCATCGTAAGCATCATAAGAAGAATCAGCATTCAAATTCTCATCATCAAAAGCAACATCATCACCACCATCACAGCCGCCACCATCACCAGCATAATCGTCAGCGTCATCTTCATGATCACCACCATCATCACTACCACCACCATCTTCATCAGCATCAGTACCATTCTGATCATAATAATCCGTATCGTCATCATCACCATCATCATTCCATCACCATCACCATCACCATCACCATCACCATCACCATCATCATCATCATCATCATCATCGTCGTCGTCGTCGTCGTCATCATCATCATCATCATCATCATCACCATTTTCGTCGTCGTCGTGGCGTCGGCGTCGGCGTCGGCTTCAGCGGCGTCGTCGTCGTCGTCGTCCTCATCGTCGTCGTCGTCGTGGTCGTCGTCGTCCCCGCCGCGTGCGGGCGCTTCGCGTTGTCGCCGCCGTCGGCGCCAAACTCTTCCTCCTCTTCGTCGCCGCCGCCATCGAGGGAGTGGGCGGAGGCGGGGAGAGGAGGGAGAGAGGCCGAGGGGGGGTGGTCGAAGAGGGAGAGCAGGTTGAGGGAGGGGAGGACGCAGATCAGGAAGAGGAAACCAGGGCGAGCAGAAGAAGAAGAAGAAGAAATCAGAGGGAAAAGGCAAGGGCCCCAGGAAGTTGAGCCGACTAGGAGGGGACCGGAGAGGGCGCGGAGCGGCGCAAGAGCAGGAAGATGGCAAAGGACCGGGGACTTCAGGAGCCTCTCGAAGTCCACCGGATGTTTCTGACTGTTTTCGGGCCCCCGAGGCGCTTTCCAGAAGCTGCGCCTCGTCGAAAGCTTTCTGGCGAGCATGGGATCGTCGCTAAGCTCCGAACGTTCGCCGGAGGCCCAGCCTTTGGACTGCAAACCAAAAGGGAGGAGCGAAGAGGACCCTGACATGCATGCACCGTGAAGGAATCACGACTGGCTGTCTCGCCCCATTGCGAGCCACAGGACCCTCACGAATTCAGAGAAAGCCTGCCTCAAGCTGATGACGAGAGATATTGCATCGTTCGTGGTTTTCGTTACCTTACGACGTCCGATCTCGGGGAATGCTCTCTGTGACACCCCCATGTGAACCTTTTTTCCTTCAACGTGTGCGAAGGCGCCGCGGAGGGGCCGAGGTGACAAGTCTGCCCAGAATTTGTCCACGGCAACTCGGTGCCCCGAGGCGCGTTCCAGCAGGTTGGCATATGGTACATCAGCAACAACAACACGTCCTGAACAATGCAAACTCACTTGGATCACAAGGTGAACGAGTCCGGCTAGATGCCCCCGATGCTGCGCAACTGGGCTTTCAGTGATTCCAAGTTGGCCGTCACCGAACCCACCCCCTCCCACAACTTCCTGAGCTCATTGACCGTCGCTGGGCGATCGTGAGGAATGGCCTCGTCCATCCAGCAGAAGCGCAGGTCGGCTCCATGGTCCACCTCCTTCCCCGCTGGGTCGCAGGGCGCCCGCTTCGCCAGCAGCTGGATATCTGGCTCCTCGCCGCCCTTGGCCGGGAAGGTGTGCGCGAAGATGGAGCGGGCCGCGAAGGGGCGCCCCAGCTCCTCCCACGCCGCCGCGGCCTGACGGTCGGCCTCCAGGTTCTGCAGGTCCGCGCGCAGCTTGCGATCCAGCCCGGACAGGTCATCCAGCACCCTGCCTCGGACCTCGTCCCCCAGCTTCTTCATGAGGTCTACCTCGAGGAGCACAGAGCTGCGCAAACCTAAACTCTCGGAGCTCCGCGAGGATCTCCTGGATCGGCGATGGAGCCCTGGTGGCGCCTTTGTCGCTGCCTCCGTCGCGCTTCGAGCGCCCTGCAGGGGGGTCCAGCGACGATCAGAGAAATCCGCGCGGAGCTCCGAAAATGTATCTTCAACCCCATGCCCCTGATCATAGACCCTGGGGGATAATAAAATTTATGGTTCGGGTGGGATGATAATCCCACCAGCCCTCTGGGCGTAGGTGGTTTAGGGAGTTTCCTGTTCCACCCCTCCTTCTTCCCCTTCGGGGAGGGGTTTACCCCTCCCCCTACCCTCTCCCGTGGACCTGGACAGAGGTTTTCGCGAGGTGTCGGAGCGTCCAAAACGGCCTCGGCGTGGAAGCCAACATCATTGGTTTTACTAAGGTTGTGGTCCGATGTTGGCCTCCTGAGGGGGGGACGCTAATTGCGCACCCCCCCTCCTGTGATCGATCTCGCCCAAGATGGCCAAAAGATGGCCCCCAAGGCTCCCAAGGGTGCCCCAGAAGGGCCCCAAGAGGTGGCCAGGAAGCCCCAAGAGGCCCCCAGGATGCCCCCGAGAGGCCCCCAAGAGACCCCAAGAGGCCCCAAAAGACCCCCCAGAGGCACCCAAGATGCTCCAAGAGGCCTCGGCGAGAATGCCAAATCATTGATTTAGCTAAGGTGTTAGCCACATACTGGCCTCTTGGGGGGGGCATTGATTAAGATGACTCCAAGAGCGCCTGGGAGAGCCCAAGATGACTTCGAAGATGACTCAAGATATCCCAAGATGTCTCAGAATGGCTTCCTCTGTGTGCTGCCCACTTCCCTGATCGAGGCAATTCCTCTGGGCATCGTTTCTGGATGGGCTGGTGGGGACCCGCGAAGCGCCGACAATTTGTCCCCTGCAACTCGAATGTACAGATGTGCGGTGTACGACCATACGGTGTACACAGCGTAGCAGAAGAAGGCGAAGCAGAAAAACAATACGTAGCAGTAGTAGTACTAGTAATAGTGGTAGTAGTAGTAGTAGTAGTAGACGTAATAGTAGTAGTAGGAGGAGGAGTAGTAGTATTAGTAGTACTAGTAGTAGTAGTAGTAATAGTAGTAGTAGTAGTAGTAGCAGCAGCAGTAGTAGTAGTAGTCGTAGTAGTAGTAGTAGTAGTAGTAGTAGTAGTAGTAGTCGTAGTAGTAGTGGTAGTCGTCGTCGTAGTAGTTGTAGTAGCAGTAGTAGTAGTAGTAGCAGTAGTAGTAAAGTAGTAGTAGTAGTAGTAGTAGTAGTAGTAGTAGTAGTAGTAGTAGTAGTAGTAGTAGTAAGAGTAGTAGTAGTAGTCGTAATCGTCGTCGTAGTAGTATGACTAATGGTAGCACGAGGAAAATTAGTAGTTGTAGTAGTGTTAGTAGTCATACAATACCCAGAAGTGGTCGCAGAGGTCGTAGTAGTAGTCGTGGTCGTCGCCGTTGGCGTAGTAGTGGTAGTAGTGGTAGTAGTAGTAGTAGTAGTAGTAGTAGTAGTAGTAGTAGTAGTTGTAGTAGTAGTAGTAGTAGTCGTAGTAGTAGAAGTCGTAGTAGTAGTAGCAGTAGTAGTAGTAAAGTAGTAGTAGTAGTAGTAGTAGTAGTAGTAGTAGTAGTAGTAGTAGTAGTAGTAGTAGTAGTAGTAGTAGTAGTAGTAGTAGTAGTAGTAGTAGCAGTAGTAGTAGTAGTAGTAGTAGTAGTAGTACTAGTAGTAGTAGTAGTAGTAGTAGTAGTAGTAGTAGTAGTAGTAGTAGTAGTAGTGTAGTAGTAGTAGTAGTAGTGGTAATGATAATCGCACTAGTCTAGTAGTAGTTA